ATTGCGATTCTAGCTATGTTAACCAATTTAAAAGCTTTATTGTAACTTTAACAATCTTCGAAAATATTTAAATACCGGCGAAATGATCAAAATTTTCGCGCCTAAATTTATGTATTCATAAGATGGAAGTCATTATTCATAAATATAACTACCCAGGAATTACTATGCATAGAATTTAAAAAAAAAGTCTGTATTTGTTCGTATAATATTTTGCAAACAACAGGTCATTTTTAGATTTCAATGGTCATCAATTGTTACTTATTATCTACATAGATAACAATATGTTTATTTAATGAATATAGCAGTGAGGTATGTTTGTTAGTTCTAAGAGTAATCCACAACCTTTGCAATAGCATATTTATAAGTTTCACAACGAATGAAAACAATAACTGCTATGAACAAAGCTCTTAGAATTATGAAACATCTCATGTTGATTAAATACACAAATTAAGAGGAGAAGTAATACGTATAGGTACATAATATTACAATTTTTAAAATTGTATTTCTACAACATGAGTATATTGCTGATTCATGAGAATGCAACCTGACGGTGACTAATCAACTCCTTATTTACTTGTTCTTTTTTTACTTAACGGGAAATGCTTTATTTCTAGAATAAGGCAATGAATTCTCACAATGAACAAATGAATGCTGTTTTATATGTAAGGGTAAAGTTCAAATAACGATTGGCCGAATTTTGTAATGTTACTCGTACTTTGATCTTTATATGTTTCCTTTAAATGAACATTACTCCTTATCTTCGTATTCATATCTATCAATATCCATACATCGTACATGGTCATACTTCTAGTGTACGGGAATATTTTCAATAAGTAGTACAGTGCAGTACAGTGCATTAAACGTATACACAAAAGTAACCGTACTGCTGTAAGTTCACGTTAAAAAATATTTTCGTAACGCAATAGGAAAAGGAGACAGCTAAAATGTTTTTGCGATCGGTAAGTAATTTATCGAAAAGTTATAAGACGGATATTCTATAAAATTAAAATTAACTGATTAAGTGAAACAATACAATTTTCGGAGATATGCAAAATAAATGTATACAAAATTGTTCAATATATCAAACGTTCAATCACGAAACTGCAACTGTGTATTATGTTTCTTAGGCATTAAAAGGAGGGATGTGTCAAAAGTTGACACGACCATTCTCAACAGGAACTGAGAGTGCTACGGGTTTTAATTTTGGTTAGCACAGTAATATACTACAATTATATTGTGTTACAATTGCATGGTTCATGTCTGAAATGTTTTGTTTATTGTAGCACTATCTGAAACTCAAAGGGAGATGCAAGATTTAGCACGAAAGTTTACAAGAGAAGAAATTATTCCAGTAGCTGCTGAGTATGATAGAACTGGAAAATATCCATGGGATATTGTCAAGAATGCATGGAGTTTAGGACTTTTGAATAAGCATATTCCTCAATATTGTGGTAAAATTAAAGATATATATGAAGAAAGTGAAATAGGATTTGAAAAAAAATAAAAGCAGACTATACATATATATATATATTATAAGTTTGTATAGATTATAAATGTGTAAACTATTATTATTATAGGGGGGATGGAGTGTGGCACTTTCGATGGTTGTTTAGTTGCAGAAGAATTTGCTTATGGTTGTACAGGAATATCAACTGTATTAGAAGGAACAGGACTAGGTGTTAGTATCGTAGAACACTCTTAATTTGTATTCATAAGAAACAAACATTTTAAATCAAATGTATTTTATTTGTAGCAAGCTCCAGTAATTGAAGCTGGAACAAAAGAACAGCAAAAAAAATATCTTGGTAGACTTATCGATGAGCCCCTCATAGCTGTAAGACAACTAAGTGGAAATTTATTTAAATACATACTAGCAATCTATATATTCATTTTCACAATATAAAAATTGTAGGCATACTGTGTTACTGAACCTGGTGCTGGATCAGATGTAGCTAATATTAAAACGAGATCTGAGAAAAAAGGAAACGAATGGATTCTTAATGGAACCAAAATGTGGATAACAAATGGCAGTGTTGCTAACTGGTATAACTAATTTATAATTAAATTGTTACATTAATTATCTTATTATCTATTTTTAATATATATTAAAAAATTAATGTTCTTTAGGTATTTCGTGTTGACGAGATCAAATCCTGACCCAAAAGCTCCATTAAATAAAGCCTTTACAGCCTTTATCGTCGAACGTGAAACTGAAGGTGTAACTGTTGGTCGTAAGGTAAGGTTCTTTCCATTGAATTTAAAATCACTTCGCTTCAATAAATAAAACTGCTTTATTTTTTCACAAAAAGGAGATAAACATGGGTCAAAGAGCTTCTGACACTCGAATGATAACATTCGAAGACGTCCGTGTTCCACAAGAAAATGTTTTAGGTGCTGAAGGGGAAGGTTTCGTACTTGCTATGAAAGTTTTTGACAAGACTAGACCACCGGTAGATTGAACAAAAATATTTCTTAAAAAGGAAAAATGAATTCTTAGTGTTTGAATATTATATTTTACCCTTCTTATAGGTGGCAGCTGCAGCTGTTGGTTTGGCACAGAGGGCGCTGGACGAAGCTACGAAATATGCAATAGAACGTAAAACATTTAATAAACCAATAGCAGAACATCAAGCTGTAGGATTTATGCTTGCTGATATGGCAATTGGTGTTGAAACGGCTAGACTTGCGTGGATGAAATCAGCTTGGGCCTCTGATCATCGTCTTCCATCGAGAACAACTCTTGCCAGTATTGCGAAGTGTTATGCTGGCGATGTAGCTAACAAGTGTGCAACGGATGCTGTACAAGTACGTAACATAAAGTGTATATTTCTAGTTACTCTAAACATTTAAATCCATTATTTTACATTTTCATTATATTACAGATTTTTGGCGGTGCTGGTTTCAATTCTGAGTATCCAGTAGAGAAGTTGATGCGAGATGCAAAGATTTATCAAATTTACGAAGGCACCGCACAAATTCAAAGACTAATTATCTCGCGTAATATAATTAACGAAGCAAAACAAAAGAACTAATAACCATAAATTTAATATTGCGATTACTTCTAAATAACGAAGTTATTATTCTTAGATGAATTTATATTTCTAAAAATTTTTTAAGATTTTTTATATTAATGTTAATAATATACAACATTATTTTGTTGACTGTAAATTGCGATGAAAATATTTTATTACTATTAAATTGAGCATGTATATCTCTATAACACCGTGTATGTTTGCTGCTAAACATTTATAAATTCGTTAATTGATGTTCTTATTTTCTAACATTTCTCTACTTCGAGAAATAGATAAAAACATCGTGCGTTGAACGCAAAGAGATGATCTACAGATTATAACCTCTGGTCGAATGTGATTATTCTACGATTCATATTTCGCGGCTCTCGGTGCCAGATGACGCTGCGAGCGTTGTCCGAAAGCGTTAGTCAAGTGTATTGTACAATGAAAAGGGATTACATCGCATTATGTCCGTCAGGCCATAGTTTTTACACGGTTATATTTGGTGAAGTCGTGCGTGACGAGTTATGCAACATTCGGTGTAAAAGCGCCCCATAATAGGACGACCAGATATTGTGACACCTGACCTACTTAGACAGTATCGTCGTATTTAAGACAGTGGTAAACTGACAACATTTATAACCCTAAAAATGTATTTGACAGGCTTTCGATTCGCAGATTCTAAATGCTTGTAAACACGAGAGAGCAGAGAAATCCTTCGGAAATTGCGTCTTTCCGCGTTACATTATTGGAACACAGTACCGTGTCTAGTAATACCCGGTACCCATATAAAACAGTGGTCGATACGTTCTTTCTTACGAATTCATCTCTTCTCTGTCGTAGTTCGATACCATAAACATCGAATGCAAAACATTACGAGACTATTCGAGTGTTCGAGATTTACTATTTCGAATGTAACAGCGAATTCGAACGCTCTCTTCACGGATAAGTGGCATTTACGAAGATCAGTATAGTATTTTCCCTTTCGATATCCACTGCCGTGCCTGCGCATCGTAAACACGGGCGCAAGCTATATATCGTCAGCATTTTCTTTGCATCTCGCATCGGATACATTCATCGAACTATCATAAAAGAAACCTTTTGGAATTATACATCACATTCCCCATGAATCGAGTAACTTCCTTAAATCGATCATCGCAACGATAGACCTAACAGAGAGTTCGATAAGATAGTAAATTGTGACATTTCTAAAGACGTGGATCCGCAAATAGAAAATCCACATTCTCCGTATTCCATAGAAACGAATGGTATTAAAAATCCAAGATCTATCGAAGCATAGTAGGAATCATGCTGCCAGCATCTGTTTAAGATATTCTAATGTACGATAAAGAAGTTGACGATAAAACGCCTTGAGATCGGCAGTCGGACTCTTAGATGCAGGCCAGCAATGGCAGCAACCGAAAGGCGATCACCGAGAAAAGTGATTTCGGTGTGTGATACGGACACGGGATACAGGCCAGGGGCGTTTTGGCGCAGGGTGTACGGTACTGGAACTCGTGCTGTCAGAGCGCAACGGTGCGCCGGACGCTCGCTTGACTAAGGGAGTGCCCGTCCCGATGCAAAGTGTAAGTGAAGTGGCCTACAGACCTACATTTGTCTAACGTTCGATTTTTTTCACGAGCCGCCGGACAGGAGGTTAATAATCCGCGCGGGGCTCATTTTTCCGCGGGCGTGTGCGATGTCGCTGTTGTGTGATATACCGATGTTCGGTTGAAAGAGACGGTGTGTAGTTTCGGTACGCTCAGACGGCGCTGGCCGGCGCGGGGAGCGTAGTAGTAAAAAGAGAGAGGAGGACAGCGAGAGCGTGCGCACACGAGGACGAGAGAGAGAGTGAGACCAAGAGAGAAAACCGTCCGACAGAGGGAGACGGAAAAGAAGGAACCAGACCGAGCGCGCGCTTCTCTCGAAAGGAAGCGAGACGGACAGATAGATAGACGGGGGGGCAAGAAAGAGAGAGCGCGAGGGCACGTAAGAGAGTGTAGGTGTTCCTCGAGAGAAGTGCGTGCGCTCGGGGACGACGTGCAGGAGGAGGGACCCCCGTCTGTCTGTCTGCTGGAATGCACGAGGGCCGAATGGCTACGGGGACAGGGGAAGGTGGGGGCCACACGGCCCTCGAGAACACCACCACGACGGCCCTTACGGAATCATCGTCTTCCTCCTCCTCGTTACCGACCATCCTGACCGAAAACACCACGGCTAATCTGCCTCTGACGGGACCTCAACAGCAGAACCTTCATCAGGTACAACAGCAACAGGCACAGCAACAGCAGCAGCAGCAGCAGCAGCAGCAGCAGCAGCACTCACAACCACGGGTTAGCTTGATCACTGATCTGCCAGTAAACGATGCCTCAGGTAACCTCAACGACATTTCTGTCCTCTCGAGTTCTTTGTTGCCGTAGCGTACCGCTTGCCAAACTCCCTTCTTTCTTCTGTGCTTTGCCCCTGTCTGCTTCACTCTCACTCTTCGCCGTTTCTCGGTCTCGCTTTCGCTTTCGATTGTCTCTTTCCCTCTTCTTGCGCGCGGTCTTTCGCCCTTTCTTCTTCTCCTTCTCTCGCCACCGGTACACATTGTCTGTTTTCTCTTTCTCCTTCTATTGCTAGCTGCCTCTTTATGCCCCCCTTTCTCTCACTCGCTTGCTTGTGCGCTCTCTCTCTCTCTCTCTCTCTCTCTCTCTCCGACTTGCTTATTCGCTCGCTCTTTCGACTCGGTCCACTTCCGAAGTTACAGGTACACGCGGTCTTATTTTTCCTCGTTGCTGCAACGCGCGAGCATTATCCTTTCAGATGATTTCATTACAGTGCAATTTCTATGATAGCTTTGTTTATACGTGTCCTATACTTGCGCGTAGATTTAGTAACGATGTCAGATCGTGAAATCGACGCTGAATCGAAACGGCTAGAACCGAATCGTTCGAAAATCACGTCTAACGAGAAATCGAATAATTATCTAAACTTAGATCGATTCGTATCGGAATCGATTGGAATCCATCGATAATTGCCCGCAGCGATCGATTTTCTAGAAAATCGATTCCGAACCGAACGCGTCACATCATAGGAAGTCGCGCAGCGGAAAAGTTAACGCAATTCTATCCTGACTTTTCCATAATAAAACCCGAAGAAATTAATTTCATTCATCGACGCACTTCTTTGCAAGTATTTGTTGATCATTCCGTAACGCATGCCCGTTATCTTTATCGATAGATATGCCATCGAAACTTGTTTATCTGTAAACTTGTTCTTCGTACGCGATACGCTACGTTACGTAGCGTGCACGTACAAGTAACGACGAGAGAATAGAATTTGCGTATACGCAGATCGAACACTGTGCGCGCAATATGAAAGAAGAGCGTTGTTCCATATGGAATGCACGGTAGACGAGAGTGCCACGGAGGTTCGTCGAATATTTACCATGTAAATGTTTCTGCCTCCTTGGACTCTTTCTGCTTAATATTCCAATGCAACCTTTCTCGGTTTAAGTATTTTATCCGTCGATTTGCGAGTGGATACTCGTCAAACCAAAACGGGATTTTATCCGAATGACAGGTGCCAATGAAAATTCTTTATGACGGGTTATCGAGTTGAACGGGTATTCAAATAAGCTTTCTTTCGTTCAACGCATAACACGATTTGATTGTATAATCCAGACTGCAAATTTTTCTCGAACACGTGACGCAAATATAACCGAAAAAGAAGTACACGATAGATTTCGCGATAGATGTGAAATATTTAGTTGTAATAGATTCAACTGCTCGATTCGATATATCGCCATATATCGATGTTATTTGTTATTCGTCGTTCCAATTAAATTTTGCCCATCCCTGCCGCAGCCAATGCGACGCTCGAAGCGTTAGCTGAACCCCAGTTTGAACGTGCAGTACGTGCAACAGGCGTTTCGGTGTAAATTCCAAAGCGAAGATGCAAAACGAGCTCGGGCCTCCTCGTTGCCTCAGATTTAGAACAGACAGCCTTCGAGTGTTTCTTTATGAACGTTGCACCGACCCTTCGCGAACAATATAGCGGTTCGATGAAACGAGACTCGTCGGTTGGCTTTATTTACGTTCACGACCTCTACTCCTCCCATCGAAATGGCGGGAGTTTCGCGACTCTTATTAGAACCTCCTCAGTTGCACCCTTCTCGCGGCGTTTACTTTTTAAACACTCGAATTTATTGAAAATACATTTTCAACTAAATACCTCATTCAAACTTTGATCGAATAAAAGTTGATTCGGTTCAGGGCCAATTTCAGTTCGAGACGTAGACGCGCGCGCGCGGTTTAATTTCCTTAACCGTGACACCAAAGGCTATCGATTCGGGGGAAAAGGTGGGTCAAAAAGGAACCTCGTGCGGAACGAGTCCAATTTCTGTTCCCCGCGATAAAGATGTCAAGTATGAATATTCATGGCTCTCGCCAGCATTAACTGTGCAGATAATTGGCGGTGGCATTGCGCGATTACGCGGGCTCGTTGCAAGATAGTGTTCCTCCGCGAGTCTCAAGGGCGGGTTCGCGCACCATTTTCTCGATTCTCGATCAGGTGGCCATGCGTTACCGTTCCTGCCACGTTTAGGAGGTCGGATATTAAGTCGCGATTTGTTTTTTTCTACGAAGAAAAATTTACCGAATTTTTCTGCAACCACGAGAATATTTTCAGTATGTTTCAACGTGCATTTGGTACTTTATTTCATTCTTGAGAAATCGGCGAATTTTAGTTACTATTTTCAACTCCGAATTATAGTAGGTTTGATAAAAAAAAAAAAAAATATATACGTGTCGAATCGAGTAACCTCCTCCTTTTCGAAGTTGGTTAAAAAAGAAACATTCTGTTAGGTATCCCGTGTTGTTAGCGATGTGGCTCCCTTACGAACCGATAATGTCCCGTGATCCCGTTTTCGCGGTGTTACCCGCTCAACCTGCTCGAGCGTGGCGATTCCGTCCGCAATGCGCTTCGAGGCTTGGTCCACGGAGCTTCTGAAAAGAACGTAAAGAATAGCCGAGACACTCGAACCCCTGTCGAGTCTCTTTCAGCGGTGCAGTCGTGTAGGGAGCATTCCTGATGTTCTAGAGGCTTCGTTATTTTCGTGGAAGAGACGAGTCCTATTACCTTTCGCACAGACCCGGATTCTTTATTCGCATGGCTATTTCTAGTCCCGGCGTAATTAAAGAAAAGTATTAGGTGTAGGAATTAACCCTTTGCACTCGAGATGCTTTCTTAGCATTCTATCGTCAAGAATGCAAAGCTTAGATCGAGACTTCGAAAATGAGATCTCCAATTTAAGATTTGGGAATCAGGTCACGTTTGCCTCGACGGCAATCATTATTGACACTTGGAGTTCCAAAGAAATTAAACCTAAAGAAAACCTAGTGGTGACTGAGAGTCACCTCTCGGGTCCAAAGGGTTAATTCTGTGCCTTTGTAAGATGAACTTATCATTTGTTTATAAAGATAAACCATACTATTAGGTTGTCCCAAAAGTTTCTTCTGTGACTTGCAATCAATTATTTTGTGTGCCAGTGTTTATATAAATAGACAACATCTAATTTCTTAGATGTGAATATTGAACAGTAATGAATATGTAACAGTAAGGGAGCAAAATGAATCGTACGCAGTTTAATAATGTAACATTAGACATAAAAAAAAAAAATTGTGTACGTATTACTTATTAACGAAATGGAAGAAACTTTTGGGACAACCTAATACTTTTAATCTTCCCTTTAGCGTGACAAAATATTTATGTTTGAAGGATTGAACGTTAAGGGACAGAATTAATTTCTACACTTAGTAGATTTCGCGACAGATACCGTTATCACACTGGATTCGAGTCTGCTTCCTCTTCAGAAATGACACAGTGAGCAGCGATAGCGCTGCGAAATCAGCGATGCGCCGAATATCGTGTAGGAAATGGCGCGAAATTATCAACCGGAAGTATCGTTCGCAACTGTGTCGCGGAAATTTGATAACGCAGCTTTTCGACGTGTTCGTCCGATGCAGGGTTTCCGCGTTAGCGCCAGGCTCAGTTCTTTAATTCGAAACGTTTAATTTTTAAAAATCGTGTCGAAGACGGTTTCGTCTTAAAATGATTTTTTCAGTACCGGTTCATTTTACGAATTTAATTCCCAAACAATAACATCGAAAATAGTTTCCACGTGCTTTATTAATTTCAAAGAAAATTATTTCCCCCACAAATCACGACAAAAACGGTGGCTGCGGTGTATCCGCAAGGATCACTGGCCTAGCCTAATCGGGGACGCAACGAGCTTCGCCGCTGTCGACTTATCGAGTTCCGACGCGATAATCGGCGACGGAACAGGTTGCCGTTCGATTAAAAATGGGTCTATGTTACGGCGACGCGATCGCGAAGCGAAACTCGTTACGTCACCGCTTGTCGAGACATCGGGCGCAGTGAAAGCATCCCGCAATCATCGCGATGCAACTCTACGAGTGCGTGAGTACGATTTTAAATGTCGGAAAGACGCGTTCGCTCGTTGCGTCCTCCTTCCGAGCTCGCGTCTCACGCCGGCGAGCAGCTCTCGGTTGCTCCGGGTTTACTTTTACTTTCATCCGGAGGCTCGCTGAAACGCTTCGCCAACGTGGCCCGACGCCCCGAAAATTTCTCCTCGTGCAAACAGGGCCCAGAGAAAAAACATTGTTCCAATATGGCCATTTCTTGTCCCTGGTGAAAAAGTATTTGTTACGTTATACGTACTTTTGCAGGGAAACGCTTCCTAGGAAAGTTGTTAGAATTGTATTTCTATATAAACTTTATTTTCTAAAGGATTACAACATATATAAGAATGTTAGAGGAAAAATGTTCGAAATTCACGACGACTTATTTCGACGGACTTGAGGATCGTCGCTTTCTGTCCCTGCTAGGACCCCACCCCTCTTTCTGCTTTAAGGAAAAACAGACACTTTTCCTCAAGTCTCGAAAGTGGCAATCGTTGCATTTCAACAGAACTGGTTCTCTGATCCTCGAAGAAGGAACTTTTTTTTTTTTCTGAAAAATCGAGAAGTTTCACTAACCGTCTTCACCTCGGCATTTCCTCTGTCTCGTGCAATTAAAGGTGGCCCCTCGTAAACTACTAATTTCCCAATATTGTCCGCAACGCTAGAAAGTGGCCCGACCCTCGCTCACAGATACACGTTATCTACAAACATTAAGCACCAAAGATGGTAATTTTCGAACAATGTCCCCTCCGTCGTCGGGCCCGTCGGTTGCTCAACACAAAACTCTCATTTCCACTCGTTCGAGAAGACACGACCCGTCCACGGGTCATCCGCGTCCCCTCCCGTGGCAATAACTGTCGTCGAATTCAGCGTCGCGACGCGCAACGTCGGAGTAATTCCACCCACTTT